TAGATTTTCTTGAGAGCTATAAATTTGGGATCTGCTACTTATTGCTTATTATTCTTTAACTAGACGATCTTCAAGGAAAACTTTTATTAATCGATAGTCACGCTAAAGCGATCTAGTATGTTTCTCCTGGAATCACTCTTTATCGACTGTTTTTCAATTTATTAGAAGCTATATATTTCTTATCAACACTGAGGATTATGTGCTGAAAGAACAATTTTTTTCTATTCTCATATTTGTATAAAATATTAGGTCATCTTTCTACTGATACTTTTCCGAGTTCCTAAAATGATTTCAGACGTCAGTGAATGATTAAGATCAGAACAAAGAGAATCTATATATTCATATCCTAGTCTTCTCGAAGCAGGTTTTCATATGCTTTCGGTGTAGATGTCGTTTTTGATCTTCTCTTTAACAATATCCACACTCTCACATCGAATAGCTTTTGAGTTTTATAAAACAAAAAAAATCATCTTGTTCTACACATCTATATAGTTTTTCGCATAAGTTCTGTAGTGAATTATAGTGTAGAACGATACAATTTGTACGAGATTATAGCAAGACGATGTTTTCAAGGTCTAGAAGATAGTTACTAGATATAGACTCACTTTAATTTATCTGTAGCAGTCTTATTAAACTTGAGGATGTGGGTGTGGGTGTGAATGGGTGTGTTGCATGGATGAAAAGAACATCAATACCCAGACTCACACCTACACCCACACCCTCATAGGTACCTCAAAATGCAATCGACCCGATTGATCAATCCATCTCAATCCAATTTCAGCTCCTTTCATCCCATCAGCTACATAAGAGAGATGAGTGGAGATGAAGATGATGAGACGATCATAGCTGGACTGAGGCCGAGAACAATCCATCCAGTCATTCCAAGGTACAGTTCAAGTGTGATCTCCTTGCGAGCATTATCAATAGACCATCATAGCTTAGCAAGATTGGGTAGTACTTCAGAAGCATAGGTATGGTCGTTGTACGCTCGAAGTGGACTCATTGTAGCATCGAGATGCCAAACAAAACACAGCAATAAGATAGCGAACGAAAGAAAATGAAACTACGTGGTTAACATTTGTTTCACTTGGACAATACTGTCGATATTCACCTTTATTTATCGGAGGACAGAGAAATAAATATGATTCGAATAAAATAAAAAATATTCACTTTCGAAATAATATTTAAACATTAATCTATCAGTTTTTATTTTTTTTCACGGTCCTAATGACTATGGTAGCCTAGAAATGCTATGAAGGGTTTTAAACGAGTGTAAAACGGAATAACAGGCAAGTTCGCACTGTCATCTTCACAATTTAGAAATGGTGAGATCGTATCGAACCTTTTAGAATGGTCGTGATTTACTCTAGATGACATTCGTGCCTATATAGACTCTTCTCGTGGGTGTATTTGATAGATCATCATGATTCACTATGATCGTCGGAAGGTGATTTTACGATCTCACATGCGACGTTTTTCATTGCCGACCGATTGCTGCCTTTTCTCCTGCTCATTGGACAGAAATACGCATAGAAAAACCGAATTATTTTCCATACAGCACGCTTTTCAATGTTCGATAGCTACTCTTGTTTTATTCAAATTATGAAGTCATTTTCATCATTTTAGTCTCGAAGCTGTACCCATATCAGTGGTGTTCTTTTTGCATTGATATGGTTTGAAATCTTCATAGTCCGGTAGTTTTGGAAGATCAACCAGGGTTATGTTACCACCATTGTCATAAATAAGAGTTTTCGAAGTCGAATTGTAGAAAGTTTGCCAATCAGCAATAGATTGCGTTGTCCATTGACGATCTGTTAACCATTTGACAATGCTATTGTAATCCAAAGGTCTACAAAACAGAAACATATCATTGAGACAGATAGATAAAAGCTTCGCTAACATTGAATTATTTGTCACTTGTGCCCATGCTTCCATCGAATTGGTCATCAAACAAAGGTGTAAATTATTCATACGTGGATAGTAAGTAAACATGTGTAAACACATTTCATTTCTCGTTGCTTCTCCGCCCTAGATCATTACTGTGCCTAGCTTTTGAAAATTTCATGAACAACCACTTACCAAAGTGACGACACTCTTGTTGGTTGTACTGTATATACATCGCGTTGCTAATTCATCACCCTAGAATTATCTTCATCGTCGAACGACTGAGACAAGGTTAGATAATACAAACCGGATACAATGTAATCGGTTGAGGTAAACGATTCTGAAATTGATAATTGAAAGTATAGGCATCACCATTGAACAGATATTGAACTGCTTTCTTATTTCGAATGATCTTTGTCCAGACACTGCGCCCTACAAGCGAGAATGTTGTCTCTTGTAAAAGAATTACCCGTTTTCAGGTACCTTGAAGATGAGTGTGTGGAAATGCTGCAACTACAGTAATGCCCGTCGGTGGAATATTCTATCGATAGAAGGAATCAAATTGAGCTGAATCAAATCATAAACTACTTACTTGAGTGACCAGAGCAGGACAATAAGAATCGATGACTAAACGATCATCATACGGTGGAATAGCAATTGCAGTGGCGTCTGAATCTTGACCCAATGTCAGATAGCCGATATCGTATTGGCGAAGTTCATTGCTTAGATAGAATCGCATACCAGAGCTATCCGTGCGATCTAATTCATTAGACGATCTCATTTTTTTTCAATCTCAATTAGATCTATTGCTTTACTTGACATTTGATGTATGTTGTTATAGTGCATTTGAATCACATAATATTTGATTTCAAAATCACCTCCAACAGGATATCCAGCCACATCAGGGAACTCATTGATCTATTATCAAAAGAACATTCTTTGTTTCACTAATAGGTCTTTTCTTTTAATTCAAAACTGACATAATCTCCACCAACAGCCCATCCGGTGGCGATATTCGATGTGCAAGGTATAAGAACTTCGCCAAGATCATCACATATACCAGAAGGCAAATTCTTATCATCGTAGACAGCCGATGGATTGCATTCATACATCAACATATGATGAACAATATCAATATTGGCTGGATCAATGATGGCTTTATGCTACAATACAACACGATTTATACATCGAGTGAGATGATAGGATCGATCTTTCTTACAGCAATAGCATGTCTTCGTTTAGGAAACTTAGCTGGCACTTTGTAGACCGTACAGTGATAGGTCGTCTCGTTCGATGGTACTGAATACTGAAAAGCATCAATGCAGAACATTGCTGCAATCGCCTTCAATGCAAATGATATGACTTACATTGTACAGTTGAAAATCGAAATAGTCGAGGCCAGAAAATTTGCTCTCTGGTGGTGGATTTGCATATGATTGTAATGGAATCGCTCGAGTATATCGACGATCGCCATGATACTTGATCGTCGCTTTTCCATCAATTATAACAGGATCTTCGAGACTGTAGGCGTAGATTACAATGTTGGTTCCGGACTATACAATACAACTTTTATCTTCAACATGTATTAAAAGAGGCATACTTTGATAGGATAATCCATGACATCACAAGTGTCTAAGAGTCGTTTGAACTGAATGGCTGTCCATCCGTTCTCTTCGCGACCTTGCAATCCAAACCAATCTTGTGTTGTATTATCCAGCATCGGCTGGTAAAAGCCATATGCATATCGATCCTATTGATCAAGTGATGAATGAGAGAATGAAAGAAGAAGAATGTCTACTTCAAAATGCAGTTGACCCAATTGATCGATCCATCCCAAGCCGATATCAGCACCAATCATACCACCAGCTATGTATGAGAGATGAGAGAGATCAGGATGAGAATGAAAATGATCATACCTGGACTGATACCAAGTGCAATCCAACCAGTTGTATTGATGTGAAATTCAAAAGTGATCTCCTTTCGAAGATCGTCGATCGACCACCAAAGATCAGCAAGATTGGGTTGCAGTTCCGTAGCATAGGTGTAATTGGTGTATGGTGGGATGGGACTGCTGATAGCATCGAGATGCTGTACAACACCCACCAATAAAATGACAAAAGAAAGAAAAGAAAGCCACATGATATGTGTGTACGTTTCAGTTGGACAATATTGTCGATGTTTGCGTTTATCTATTGGCAAAAGTGCAGTATAAATATGAATGGGTGATTTCAAAGATATTTGTTTTCATGATGCTATGGAAATATTAACCAATGGGCTTTCGTTCTTTTCTCACTTTTTTCACGAGTTGGGTTGCTGAAAGTTTGCTTGAATGAGTAATGCTGAGTTGCAACATGGACTGATATGGAAATCTCTTATCTATTTTACTGATTACTCATCGGATGAGTATGAAGGTTGCATCATCACATACGTTGTGTAAATATTATTTTGCAAAATCAACTCTAATGTCAGATTCTATGTGTCATCTAGGTAGCAGTGTTACCTGTGTAACATTTTCCAGGCTAAAAAGAGGATAGAAGTTAAAGATGATAAAAATGATTCACAATATGCGTCTCAAGTCATGTTTATCATCATGTTTGGGCACCACAGGCAAAGTCTATTCGAGATGAAGTTTCATTTCATAGCAGAGCTGAATTCAGCAGAGTTATATGTATCGGTGCAGAGGTCTAGTTCACTTTTTGTCCACCGTAAATCGGTGGTTTTGGATCACTGGGCAGTTTCACGAATTGTTTCTCCACAGTAAGATTGATTCGTTTCAGTTCGCGTTTTTTGTGTGTGCACATCACCCAGAATCATTTCTTTTCATAATGGAGGATCTTGAAAGAGGCCAGGACCTTTTAACGGATGTCGTACATGTGAGAACGGATTGTTCAAAGGTGGATATTTACCAGCAACAGAGATGGTTTCTTTTTATTTCAATTGTGCATCGAATTACTTAATCGCATCTAAGCGTTGTTGAATACAACAGACTTGACCATTATATTGCGGACCCACACACCACAGTGTTTCCAAATCATTCCGTTCACGCATTTCCGCATCCATCAGATGAAGAACAAGATAACCTGAAGAAGAAAGATCAGATGCGACTGAAAGGTTGGCACAGCCTTACTCATATCCATGGTGTGCCATCGTAATCCATTACGACATTCACTAGGGAGGAAAGGGTCCGATGCTTTTTTTCTTCACTTTATACTAGAGATTGAGCATAAGAAGAGAACGATAATCGGAGAAAGTCTTACTAGTTTATTGATGCATTCACTTGTAGTTTTCAGATGTCGTGCATTGAATGCTGTGGCCAACACTAAATAATGTGAATATTGCTACCTTGAGCAATGTCACACTCACACCCTCAACTCGCTCACCGACCATTCGATAGTAGTTTCGATGGGTCACAAAACTGCAAGCGCGCTTGATATCAGATTTTGCTAGCCAAAAATGCTATAGGCTGAGTGTATGTCAACAGTAGGAAAGTATTTGTGAACGATCATTACAGAGAGAAAAATATTTGAAAACTGACGGTCAAGAAGTGCTCATTAGTAGTTCGAAGAAAGTGACAGAGCATCTTTGTTTGTGAACGTTTTTTTGTTTGTTTGAAGAAATAATGCATGCACTACGGGTTTTGTTTTTATAGAGTTTTGGCAAACGGAAACAGAAGCAAGGGTGTGGGTGTGGGGTGTGGATGAGGGTGTGTGGTTGTTGTTCTTGTTTTCACCCAAACTCACGCTCAGACCCACACCCCACACCCACATCCGCACCCAAGGCTACATATGTGTTATACACAGTTCAGCTTGTTTGTTTTCGTAGGAAAACGTTCTTAATCCTGAAAATGCAATTCTTCAAGCTCTATACAAGACTTAATCATGCGAAAAAGATAATCAAATACTCATTGATTATAATCGGCTATTAAGAAAAATAATATGGCATCAACGTTTTTCAATGACTGTGTTTCATTTCTGTTTTTTTTTATATATTGACGTTCAATCTTGCGATTTCCGACACTGAGCTACCGAATCTTGAGGAAAACCTTTATAAAACAGCTACACTACGCCATAGCTAACAAAAACAAATCTTTCAGTGATCTCGCAGAGAATATTGATTCTTTTTGACACTTTATTTTTGTTAAACAATCAGATGAAGAGTTATTCGGAAATGTGGATTCATCACAAAGCCCAACACTTGCCTACACAAAGAGTTGCATATACTTCATTACACATATTACTACTGGCCTCCATTAATCCTTCCGGCATGCATCGAGCCTCACAATTTTTCCAGCCCAATCCGGCTACTAGACAGCCTGGAAAGAGTTCCCAAAAGGTGAACCAACGCGTTGGGAATTGAATCTTTCCAACTAAAATATTGTGGCCGACGACATCAATAGGTTTGAGACAGTCCAAAGGGATGATTGTTTGAGAGCAATCATGATGTGTAGCAGCAGAAGTAGTTGCCAAAAGAAATAGAAGACAGGCGTAGGGTCTCATCGAAGTCAGCATCTAAAAGTGTAGAAAAACAGCGACAAAATATCTACTACTCGATCCCTTATTGAATAATTTTGTTTAAGTCAAGACAGTTATCTCAAGTGAAACGCAATCATATCAATAGATCGGAGTATTCATTACAGCAGCGCACTCAATAACTTAAATACGAATCGGAAATTAACACCAATACCAAGAATGGAGTATTTGAGGAAACTGTTGGCAGCATTGACCATGCTCAATCGCTTAATGTCTAGCGGAAATAAATCGATCAATTTTCAGGCGTTACGTCGACTCTAGTTTAATAATATTTCACCCGTCTAACAGAGCAGAAACAATATATCTTTGTCAATAGAATTTTCAGACGATTAAAAGAATACGTGTACATATCGTGCTATGGCTTTCACTTCTTCTCAACGATTATAGTTCGTCTTACTTTCGCGATATGAAGGAAGGGCTCGAAAATCATCCTACAAGCTCAATGTGATGATCTGACTTGTACATTCAATGAGCAACTTATTCGCAAATGACTTTAGTATCAAACTAACAAGAACCTATTTACCTGACTATTTAATTGCAAGGCTTCTTCGTGATTTATGTAGCTTAAAGTCTATCAAATATTATTAAAAATTAAAATCTCTTTTCTACAGTTGATAACTTAAACGTAATTCATTTTTAAATAGCTTAGCATGAAAAAAATCTACAGTATAACAGTCTCGATTTTTCCAGAGTAGCTATTGTTTTAGTTTCACAAACATTCTAGCATCTTAGAATACGAATGAATCTATTAGCTAAATATAACATTCGATTTTTGGCCGCCACAACTGTGTTGGTCACCTGACGATATTCACATCGATATCATGATTAAATTAAGCTATAGTTTGGGATGGGTGTAGGTGTGGGGTGTGCTTGTGAGTGTCTGAGTGTGGATGTGGGTTGGGTATGGATGAAAAGGAGCCACACACTCACCCCCATCCTCACCCCCACAACCACTCACACTCCACTCACACCCTCGGATACAGCAATCGTATTGCTCCGTAAACGAGTGTTTACGAGCGTGCGTATTCGACCTGGGATGTTTCGTTAGGTTCTTACTTAGATATGTCAGTATCATTCCCATGTTTTTATATGTTGCTTTAATACATGCACAACGGTACCACTGGTTTCTCGCAGCGTGTAAATAGTGTGTACACATAACACCTTTTTTTTAATTTCCAGGAAATTCAATTAGAGTTATAGTGACCTATTCCAGCTTCTGTTGAGGGAGGTATACGAATTAATAGAGATAATAGAAATATAGTAAGTAACGTAGGAAATGTCGTACAATACCTTCAATGAATTTAACAGAAATTCATAATAAACATCAGACTATTTCAATACACTCTAACGGCATCTCACCTGTTGTGAATGTCAAGCAAGACGAAAACACACTACAGCTTTGAGCGGTTTAGAAATATCGTTTTGATGTGGTTGAAATACTCAGAATGGCTCATTTTTGTTGGTCTTTAAGAGTTGCGAAATATGTTACAGACGCGCGATTTTTTACGGCTAAAACGTATGGTATCAACATTGCATGATTTGAACTAAATAATAAAACTATAATAATTCAAAAATCTTTGATTTTTATGTCTTGTCTTCATCGAGAATGTTTTAATTTTTCTTATCAAAGTATACTTCATTTTTTCTAAATTACATTGAATAGTGTATAATTAGAAATTGGAAGATTTAGAGTTTGATAATCAGTTTATGAGTAAATGACTGTGTTTCGCGCTATACATAGATAGATGACATTCTTACCTTTTGAGAACCAAATATATATAAACTACTGGATGGTGTGGGTGTAAGTTTTATGTTCATTTACACCCACACCTACAAGCTTTGAAACAATTTGAAACAAAAAATATTCGTTATCTGCGGGTCTTGTTATTCATATAGAAACACAGAGATGGACTTGTCAACAGAACAAGCTAAAACGATTACTTATCTCTTTATTACTTAACTGCACTTATAATTCTTTTATCTTTCATCTTGCTCAAAATTGCTGGTCGAGATGCGTCTTCTCAGCTTTATTCTTCTTGTAGTTAGATGTTGGAGTTATATACACTTATCTATAGATCAAAAAGGAGGATATAATATTAATGTTAACGGTCATGTATGGCTTCATTCTTCTCGTACAGCTATATATGTTGATAACAAATGGTATTCATCACATGATAGTTCTCTACTATTAATAAATATAGCTTATTCACAAGGTACTGATACAAACTTAGGTAGTTGGAACGAAACTCAATTTATTTATGATCTCGTTCGAAGTGGAATATACACTAAAATAGTTGGTCATATACGCCAATGAAATTCAATTTCAGCAATAACATTTCATTTGGATACCGGTAATCAAATTATGACGAATACAGTTCCTCTCGACATCGAACATGTTCGTACAGTATTTCCATCATTTCATATTGAACGAATTGATAAGAATGATCAACGAGGCTATTTTACATTTAAAGGTAAAATTGATTATTGAAGTTTTTCTAAAGAATAATTTTCTTTTATTCAGGAGAAATGTCAGGTGATAATCAGAAACATGCTGATAGATGGGATACATTAAGCAAAGTTATTCGATCGGATATGGTAGGTGGTCCGATTACTCTCTTTAATCTTACTCAATGAGGAGAAAAAGATTTGTTAGTTCTTTCACTTTTTTCTCAATTTATGGCAACTTCATTAAGTCAAACAATAAATGTGTTAGAATATGGTGTCATGGGCTCAATATTATCAATCCCAGCAAATTATAATCATTCAATGATTGTTTTCTATTCATCAAAAGGTATTAATAAAGGTATAAGAGAATGGGGTCAAATGATGCAACGAGCATATAATCGAACGAATCAACATCGTCTCAATGATCTTACTATTAATTATCTTGGCTATTATACTGATAATGGTGCTTATTATTATTATAATACAGAAAAAGGAATAAATTATGAAGAAACAATAATCAATGTTTATCATCAAATTCCACTTCCATTTCATTATATTCAACTTGATTCATGGTGGTATTATAAAGGAATTCAAGATGGTGTTACTGAATGGATAGCTCGTCCAGATATATTTCCTGATGGTCTTCAAGTGGTCCATCGTCGGTTAGAAAATATTCCTTTAGCAGCACATAATCGCTATTGGGCATATGATACTGTTTATAAACAAAATTATTCTTTTGTTCTTGATGAAAGAAATGGAAAAGCATTACCCATTGGAAATTATTCATTTTGGATTGATTTATTTAATCAAGCACATGATTGGGGTCTTGTTCTATATGAACAAGATTGGCTTGATCGTCAAACTATTGATTTTTTGCCAACACGTACTGATATTCATATTGGTCAGCAACGGTTAATGTCTATGGGTGAAGCGGGTGAAAAAGTAGGCATAAATATACAATACTGTATGAGCTTACCACGTCATATTTTACAAGCTTTACAAATACCGCGTGTTACACATACACGAACATCAATTGATTATGCTGTTCATCTTGTGTTTCCCATTAAAGCTCAATGGGCTATTGGAATATCCAGCATGCTTGCTGATGCGATTGGCTTAGCACCATTCAAAGATGTTTTCTGGTCTAGTTCATTTGAGCCAGGTGCGCCTTATCAAGAATTAGCTCGAGAAATACTTCCAGATCGTGAAATGGTTATTGCAACTCTATCAACAGGACCGGTAAGTCCAGGTGATGGAATTAATTATACAAATGTTGAACGTATCATGCGATGTTGCCGTCAAGATGGTTTAATTTTGAAACCGGATCAATCATTGACAATGATAAATACGTTAATATCTGACTGGGCTTTTCATGACGGTCTGTCACAAGGAGAACTTTATTCAACACAAACAATGATGTGTGTTTCTCTGTTTTTCTTATATTTTACTTTTAGTTTTGTTTAGAAGTAACCAAACGTTTTTTATTATCTTTGCATCATCAATGAAACGAGATTATTCAGTTACTCCGTCAATGATTGGAGCTCAATCAGGACTCATTTGGTTCTACGACAATGCAACCTTAATATCAACTTTTAATGAAAGTTACCCTCTCGATGTGTCGGCTACTAAATGTAACCATTTATCAATATGTCTTTGGTATGTACCACCTCTACTTTCGTTAAATGATTCACTTGGAACACAATATGCCCTTCTTGGGGAATGGAATAGATGGACAGCTATTAGTCAACAACGATTTATATCTATAGTTACTGATACTGAAAAGAATCAAGCAATCATTACTGTTCAAGGTGCATCTTCTGAAATAGTTCCAGTCATTGTTTTTCATTCAGCATTACTTTCTGTCACTGTCAATTGTCGAATTTCGTCTGTACATGGTCAAGCGTACGTTGCCGTTACTTCATCAAACGTCCATTGCCTTTAAATAGAATAATTATCTGAAGAACTGAAATAATTTTTTTTTAATCAATAAAAAGTAGTTTAACACCTGTAATAAGTTGATCTGAAACCATTGATGCCAATGACATTGTTAGAAAGAAGGCTACGAGTAAAAACTTTACTTGTTACAATGATAGTGAATGCTCATGTAAATAATTTCTCAATTGACCTGTGTAGAAAGTCCGTAGAGAAGCGAAGAATATACAATGCTGATTATAAGATACTGTCATCAGTTATCTAATAACTATTATATAATTAGATAGCTAAACCAATAACTTGTCTTACTCGACATGATTAATGGGTATCTGCTTACAATTTAGAAGGAAAGGCAACCTTTCTAGTACATTGATGCCGATATTTTCTATGAAATGTTTTCATACAATGGAATATTATTCTCTGAAATCTTCAGCATCAAATTTCGTACTGGAAATAAATAGTATCGTGATGAACATCAGGTTACTATCAAGGATCCAGGTGATCTCGTTCTCAAGCAAATATGTGCATATCTCATAGCAAAGAAAGATTAGACTTGACGCTTCATTTTCATGTCACGAAATTGATCGTAACTACAGTAATTCATAAATCGTCATAGATACTCTAGATTGTTATTTTTATAAAACATATAGAAATGATCTCAAATGAAGATATGTCACTAGTAAAACTTTTTGAAGATAAATCTCAAACTCCACAGAACGAAAACCTAACTTTTCGGTATCACACAATGATATATTCAAATTGAATTGGCAGACACAGTTAATAAAAATTTCCCCCAATATATCTAAATGTATTATAGTACACTGTAAAAAAAATTCGTAGAATAATAAACCCTAGTACTTAAGGAAAATCTTCCTAAACCCTTAAAGGGTTTATGCTTGTGTGCTAAACCCTTAAAGGGTTTTTGTGCGAAAGGGTTTCTGAGAAAAAGGGTATTTAAAAATAAAAAGGGTTTATGACAACCGAAAAAGGGTATTTTGTTCTACCCTTTCATGAAAAGGGTTTATTATACTACGGCTAAGGGTTTATCGTTCTACTCTTTTATGAAAAGGGTTTATTATTCTACGGCTAAGGGTTTATTGTTCTACTCTTTCATGGAAAGGGTTTATTATTCTACGGATAAGGGTTTATTGTTCTACTCTTTTATGGAAAGGGTTTATTATTCTACGGATAAGGGTTTATTGTTCTACCCTTTCATGAAAAGGGTTTATTATTCTACGGATAAGGGTTTATTGTTCTACTCTTTTATGAAAAGGGTTTATTATTCTACGGATAAGGGTTTATTGTTCTACCCTTTCATGAAAAGGGTTTATTATTCTACGGATAAGGGTTTATTGTTCTACTCTTTTATGGAAAGGGTTTATTATTCTACGGATAAGGGTTTATTGTTCTACCCTTTCATGAAAAGGGTTTATTATTCTACGGATAAGGGTTTATTATTCTACGGATAAGGGTTTATTGTTCTACCCTTTCATGAAAAGGGTTTATTATTCTACGGATAAGGGTTTATTGTTCTACTCTTTTATGAAAAGGGTTTATTATTCTACGGCTAAGGGTTTATTGTTCTACCCTTTCATGAAAAGGGTTTATTATTCTACGGCTAAGGGTTTATTGTTCTACTCTTTTATGAAAAGGGTTTCTTATTCTACGGCTAAGGGTTTATTGTTCTACTCTTTCACGAAAAGGGTTTATTATTCTACGGCTAAGGGTTTATTGTTCTACTCTTTCACGAAAAGGGTTTATTATTCTACGGCTAAGGGTTTATTGTTCTACTCTTTTATGAAAAGGGTTTTTATTCTACGGCCAAGGGTTTGTTGTTCAGCCTTTCCATGGAAAGCGTGTATTTCCAAGACTGAAAGGCTAGGGTTTAGAAACCGTAATTCACCTGTGTCTGTCTGTAACAAGGTCTTGGCACAAATGACCATTGCCATGGTACAAATGACCATTTCTGTGGTACAAATCACCATTCTTATGGCACAAATGACCTATTATATGGTACAAATGATTATTCTTTTGGTAGACATGACCATTTTTGGGTGTGGGAATGGGTGTGGATGTTGGTCTCTTCCTCACTCATTGCCACACCCACACCCCGATGTCGAAATCTTGCGACTTCCAGTAAAGCATTGTAAACTCAATTCCACAAAGCTTACATGGGCCCAACTCAAGTCGCACGTGAGCAACAGGTATGTTAATTTTCGTCTTTCCAAGGTTGAAGATAGTGCGCTCGATTTTATTGCTGCCGTTGATGAAGACTTAGCACAAAGGTTCATCGAGCATGCATACAATTTCCAGAATATTTTCAAAGCAGCCGATGTAGAGGTGTAAGCCGCCGAGCTGAACCGCCACTGTCACGGAATCGTCGATAATTTTAAGAATTTCGTAGCCACCACCGCTATGGAAAAGTTAGTTCAACCAGTGTGCCACCACCACGAACGAAAATTTTTGATAATAGTATGAAGCACCACCGCCATTGACAGCGATACATAAGCGATGGGTCATTTTTTCCACTTTTAGGAGCGAAAACGTTTCTTTTTCTGGGCTAAAGCCGCCGCCGACGTAGAAAGCATAAAACCTAGTAGGCGGCGCCGCTATGAGCAAAAGATGTAACCATTAAAACGGCTGCCACTCTTTGACCCTCGGCTTACACCTCTAAGCGGATGTCATTGTGGAAAACAATATTGAGTCACAATTGATTGAAACGGTAGGTTATCATTTTGCCCCAAATTGTGGTTCCCTGAATCAACCCCCAAATCATATCCCCATTTGGGAAAAATAAAACAATTAAGGTAAATTCTGGTCACCAAATGGGGATTTTATTTTGGGCATTTTTTTATTTGGGCATTTTTTTTTCATAAGATACAGTATGTTTGTTATGAATCAATAGCATGTTGCTTCTCATACTACATAGTATCAACGAACGTCTATCATTTGTCACAAATTGGTTACCACAAATATATTCTCAAAAAAAAAAATCTCTATTAACTAAACATAATAAGAACAGTTTCCGATGAATCTGGTGACCAAAATTTATTTTGGATTACTACAACGAACAGTTTTGAGGTGAATCTGGTGACCAGAATTTATTTTGGGTTGCCCAAAAGAGAACTTCGTAGTAATCCAAGATGGATTCTGGTCACCAGATTCACCTTAAGAATTGTTCGTTGTAGTAATCCAAAATAAATTCTGGTCACCAGATTCATCGGAAACTGTTCTTATTATGTTTAGTTAATAGAGATTTTTTTTTTTTGAGAATATATTTGTGGTAACCAATTTGTGACAAATGATAGACGTTCGTTGATACTATGTAGTATGAGAAGCAACATGCTATTGATTCATAACAAACATAATGTATCTTATGAAAAAAAAATGCCCAAAATAAAATCCCCATTTGGTGACCAGAATTTACCTTAATTGTTTTATTTTCCCCAAATGGGGATATGATTTGGGGATTGATTCAGGGAACCACAATTTGGGGCAAATGATAGACATTCATTTCTATGCGTCCCTCTTCTCTACCATTTGCACTTGTGACAACTTTACTGATGCATACATATGTCAGTGTGATCAAATAGACAAAAAAATAAACACGAACGAGTAAAAAATGAATGTTTCTCTTGAATTGATTAGTGAAGATCGGCAGAAATAGACATACACGAGGTGTTATGAAGAAATCAAAGATCTTCAATCATCTAACTAATAACGTTACAATAATCAGTAGATTCCATTACCTCTATGGATGAGAGGTCTAAGACAAAAAAATTTGAAAATTTAGCATCATTCGATTTCAGGAGATTTTTTCTTTTATCTCAGAGACACATAACGGAAGTGTGAAACTTTCAGCGTTTATAGAGCAAATACTCAGCTACAATTTGGCTCAATTGAAATCAATAATCTATTTAATCAAAAGAGTCAGTCAGAGTTTTATAAAAAAGCACTTGCACAACTTCTATAAAACTTTCAAAATTCATTGACTCTTAGCTGTACAGGTACCCTCACCCAACCTTTGTCTAACAGTGAAAACTGCGATTCGATAGCTATCAGCGTTGCAGAGTTATTAAACAAACAACCGAGTCCACTTTATTTTGAAATGGATAATAATTTCCACAACAAAATGGATTGTAAGTATTATTTATATTAATAGTTTTTCTTTTTCCATTCAGGTCAGCCTCGAAAACAAGATAAAACGTAGTTTTCATACACACAAAAACACCATAATGAACTTAATTATTTTTATAAACTCGTCTTTCTTGGTGAAGTTAATCTCGACAACGAAATGAAATGTAAGTAACATTTATACATACGTATATATATTAGTTCAAAATAAAATGTAACTATTATTTATATAAATCTTTTTTTCGCCATTCAGATCAATCGCAACAACGAAATCGAAAGTAAGCATTATTTTCTTATAAATGTTTCCTTTTGATTTAGGTTAACATGAAGTTGAAAATAAAATGTAAGTATTATTTACTTTAACAATTATCCTTTTCTGTTTAGATCCATTGTAACAAGAAATCAAAAATAAGTATTATTTACTTATATAAATGTTTTTTTATTTTATATAGCTCAATATGAAATTCAAAATAATATGTAAGTATTATTTTAAAAGTCTTCTTTTTTATTTAGACCAATCGCAACAACGGAATCAAAATTAAGCATTATTTTCTTATCGATGTTTCTTTTTGATTTAGGTTAATATCGAGTTGCAAATAAAATGTAAGCATTATTTACATTAATAATTATTTTTTTCTGTTTAGATTCATTCTAACAACAAATAAAAAGTAAGTATTATTTACTTACATATATATATATATTAATTTTATTTAGTTCAATATAAAATTCAAAATAATATGTAAGTATTATTTAAAAAAAATCTTCTTTTTAATTTGGACCAATCACAACAACGAAATCAAAAGTAAGCATGATATACTTATATATATTTTTTTTAAATTTTATTTAGCTCAATATGAAATTCAAGATAATATGTAAGCATTATTTTAAAAAATCTTCTTTTTAATTTAGACCAATCGCAACAACAGAATCAAAAGTAAGTATTGTTTACTTATATGTTTTTTTTGATTTAGGTTAATATGGAGTTCAAAATAATATGTAAGTATTGTTTATATCAATCTTTTTTTTCTATTCAGATCAGTCGCAACAACAAAATCGAAAACAAGTATTATTTACTTATATATCTTTTTTAATTTTATTTAGTTCAATATGAAATTCAAAATATATATAAGTATTATTTGCAAAAAAAAAAATCTTCTTCTGTATTTAGACCAATCGCAACAACAACTGAAACAAAAGAAAGTAATATTTTTTTATATATGTTTCGTTTTTTATTTAGGTTAGTATGAAATTCAAAAATAAAATGTAAGTATTATTTATATGTATTATTATCTTTTTCTATTTAGGTCCATTAGAACAAGGAAATCCAAAGTAAGTATTTATTTATATGTATATATTTGTTTTTCTT